AGCTAAGGAAAAGGAAACCAACACAAGAGGGCAACAAAGAAAAGCCCAAGAACTAAAATACATCCAAAAACACAACGAAATGGGAATTAAACCAATAAATCTAGAAAACAAAGAAAAACATGAATCAACATGAAACTGAAAACTCAAAGGAAACTTAAACACAAAACCAAGACCATAACACTCTGAGGTCATCAAGTTAGCGTTTTTAGACGTCCCAGAAGCACGGGGTGAACGAGTCTTTTCACTGGACTCGTTCACCGTCTTTATGGAAGGACATTTCCTGTTGTTGATCTTGTGTCATTCGTTTATGGTGTAACATTTACTGTAACATTCTTCAATCAATCAATAAATCAATTGTGAATGATGCGCAGTAGTAGCTCAGAATAGTGAGGGGAGAAGAATGGACACAGTTCTTACTATTTTACTGCGAATGTTAGTCTGAGCAGTGAAACAGATTGAAAAGGTTGTGGTTTTAGAGATCTTAATGAATGCTGTTCGTTTTTATAACTTCCTCAGACACTGATGAGTGCTCCTTTGAGAGGACCTGTGACCACACTTGCATTAACTACCCCGGCAGCTTTGAGTGTTTGTGCAACAAGGGATATATCCTCTATGGTCTCACCCACTGTGGAGGTGAGTCAGTGCAGAAATCTGCACTTCTTTCATGCACAAGCCTTAAAATCTGTTTCTCTTTGGTATTTCTTTCTACCCAGCAGGCTCTGTGTGTTTGTTTTCTTGTTTAAACTGTAGATATTGATGAGTGCAGCATCAACAATGGCAGCTGTGAGTACGGCTGCATAAACACACAGGGTAGCTATGAGTGTGTTTGTCCACCTGGGCAGAAACTCCACTGGAACAAGAGAGACTGCATCGGTAAGGGTCCGGGTCCCACTGGTCCGTGGGTCTGCCTCTCCAGTGTGACCTTAGCAGTATGTGGTGTTTTCCTCAGAGGCTGTGAAATGTCTACCCAATGGAAAGCCTGCACCACGAGCCCAGCTCATCTGCACCAAGACTGGAGGCACCGAAGTCTGCTCCGTCTCCTGTCCCTCCAACGCTCTCTTCCTTGCAGGTAACCGAACTTTCCAACTGTCCAACTAAGAAAAGTCAAATTTAGTAAATAAACATCAATCATTTCCATCCATTTTCTATCACCTTTATCCCTGCTGAGGTGGTGAGGGGTGGCAAGGGGTGACGGGGTGCTGAGGGGTGCTGGGGTGGCGAGGGGTGCTGGGGTTGTGAGGGGTGCTAGGGTTGCAAGGCTTGATGGGGTTTGCGAGAGGTGACGGGGTGGCGAGGGGTGATGAGGTGGCTAGGGGTGCTAGGGTTGCAAGGCTTGATGGGGTTTGCGAGAGGTGACGGGGTGGCGAGGGGTGATGAGGTGGCTAGGGGTGCTAGGGTTGC